TGAATGGCTTTGAAAGTCACCACAAATTGGGTTCGTTTCGCATTGAAGACAATCACAGCTATAATGACGTGAATTGCGAACAAAATGTCGTCGTTTCCGACGAAGAGCTGAAGACAATCGAGAAAATGGCCGTCAATTTGATGGACGGTTTGTGTCAACACATCTCTCTCTCTCTCTCTCTCTCCCTCTCTCTCTCTCTCTCTAATTAATCCAATTATCAATGGATAGGTTTCGAGACGTCTTCACTGATCACTGACTACAAGACGTACAAAGAGCTGAAGTGGAAGTACTTCTTGAAATGGATCCGTCGGTCGCGGTGTCTGTCGGACCGGTCGTCGGAATCGTTGCCACACTTTGTCTGCTTCGGCGGTCTCTTCACATCACTGCTGATGACGCCATCGCTTGTGGAGGACTGGACTCTTGTGGTGACGCGTTTCAAAGACACGATTTTCATGAATAAGGTTCGACTCAATGAGGACTGGAAACGGGGCCGAAGACAACCACAACCGGCGGTCGATTCCAACCCATCGGTCGGCGGCGACGGATCCAAACAGTTTGTCGACAAAAACACATACTTCGCGGCAAAAGTGACACAAATTGTGACCAATGGTGACAAAGAAGCCAACAGTAGAGCCGTTAATGAGTTTGAAAAGTGTTTCAATTGTTATGAATCGAAAATCGGTATTAATTTGTTTTGAATTAAACATCATTTTTACTCATCTAATGGTTGTCTTGATTATCTTCAAAGGCGGCCATCGATTGCTTTTGATGTCAGAAATGGATGCCATCGACGAAGAGGGCAATCAGTATGAGATCAAGTGCTCGAAGAGTATGGCTTTCGGACAAAAACTGCTCCAATGGTGGGCTAATTGTGTGGTCGCAGACATCGACCGCATTATCGTTGGCCTCAAAGACTCGGAGGACGTGTTGAAAGAGATCCAAACCGTAGACGTGTCTGAAATCCCGTCGATGTCTTCGTTTCGATGGAATACTGACGAGTCGTTTGGTTTCGTTAACCGGTGTTTGAATTTCATTCAAGAAGTACTCAAAGACAGCAAAGATTTGGACACTTTTCGTGTGGTATTCCGCAAGAGATTCAAAAACATTAGGGTTTATAAGCAGTCGACCCATGGATTGCTTCCCAATTGGTTCACCGCTGAGGAGGAATGGGATGAATGGGACCATCAGTTTGACACTCAAACCACTCGTTTATATTCACACAAATAATCGCTTTTTTTGTATTGCTTTGATTTTAATTATATTTTGTTTGTTTGACTTTTCATTTGTCGGTTAATTACTATTTCATTAAACATTTATAAATATAAACTCAGTTCTGTTTAAATTGTTAATAAATGCCAACTTTCTACTAATTTGTACCATTAGTTTCTCATTGATTAATAAATATTTGGGTTTTATTTAAGAATTAAAATTTAATTAAAGATTTAATTTACTGGATATTTATAATAAATATAATTTGATTTAAATATAGATTCAGTGGTTATTTAGCGGACACTTTAGTGACAGATCCGACAACAAAGCCTCCGATTAAACCACTTTCCAGTTTCCCGTTGTTTGTCGTGATTTGGGATCCGGTGGCCGACCCGTGGGCTACGAGTACTCCCGTCTCAGACGTGGATAACGTTTTCTGGGAGTTTAGGTCTGAATATCAGAGAAAAAGTGTTAAAATTTCATTCAATCGGTAATAAAATAATTAATTGATTACTTGTTTCGTAGATATTCTTCAGGAATGGATCCGAAGGAATAGATTCGGAATCCAATGAAAAGGCTTTGTTTTGCTCAGCATTTAGTCCCAGAAGAAGACCCAAACCTCCCAAATAAGCGGTCGAGACCTTCACTGCGTGTCCATCACTTCCGGCAGCACTGATACTAACAGTTCCCGCAAATGTGATGTTAAGCGCCAGACCTCCAGAGTTGGCACCCATTATGGAGTTGAGGGCCGAGTGTTTGCCTTTTGTTAGTTCAATGAGAAGTTCATTAGACATACCGTCGGCGCCATTGGGTGTCAGTCTGTATACAAGTGTAAGAAATTAATACTT